ACGCCGCAACGCTTGGTTTAAACGAACACGTAATGAAATCTGGGATTCAAATCTTAGATAGCTACTTGCTGAAAGCTACAGGTGACTGTTTTAATACTTAGCTTCAGCAGAGAAAACATTTACAAATTCTCTCCGAAATCTGAGCTACCCACGGTGGCTGCCCCTCCGGCGGCAGCAGCTGGATCCCAGCCTGACGGGCACAGGCACACCACCGACAGCAGCTCTGCCCCGTTGCTCAGCTTCGGTTACCCGCGTGCAAAAACAATCCCTCCTGGGAACATTTAGTACTTTCCCCATTTTCACTGGCACCTCAGAAGGCAGATGACAACTACTCACCTCTTTCATCCCGAAAAAAGAGATCTTCCTCCCGCCGGCTCCCCCAGCAGGTAAAAGAGGCGGATTTCTCATCTGCTCCCCTGGCTTGCCAAGCGCAGACAAAGCCACTTTATTCGTGTGATATTGCCAAGACAGAAATTGTATATACAGAGAAATATTAGAAGATTTTCAAATATGTTATTCCTAGATAGTCTTTTTAAAAAAAAAAAATAAATAAATTGGGTACTCCCTTTCCCTGCTGTCACCCCTAAATTTTTCTGGTGTAGACAACAATAGCAACTCAGGACTTCAATGCTTTTATTTGTAATTTTACTGTATCTATTAATTTGGATTCTATGCCTCTCTAATGGCATACTTAACATAATGATTTCTGAAAACTAAGGCCCCTAAAACAGTTACGTGGTTATCCTTCCTGAAATTAGTTGCTATAATAAATCACCTACTATAATAGTTCAGAACTTGTTTACTTCTCTTTATTTTATTAAAGAGCCACCTAAAGGCATTTTAGCAGCTGTGGATGCCAGGGGAGGGGGAAACAAAATCCATTAAGTTGTGTCACACTATCAAAAATTAATTTGAAATAAAAAGTTCGCAGTCTTAAAAAAACCTAGTATTTTTGAAGAAAACAAAGAACTACTTCGAATATACCTGAAAAAAAGCTGGAGCCTTCTCACAGCTGATTAGATCAGCTATACATCAGGGAAGGTGTGACATTTAGCTAGCACTACAACCCTAGGCATCTGGGGAACCTGTAAATAAAGACACACACACACACACACACACAGAAGAAAAAGGCATGTGTTGAGATGCCTCCAGGTTGGATGGTTACCAGCAACCGCTCCTGAGCTTGTAATCAAAACCTGAAGTTTAAGCGCTCAAGGTCTCTTACGAAGTCCAACTGCAAGCACCCAACATCTCTTTGGGATCCGACCCTTCAGCTTAAACTTAAGGAAAATTAAACACCAAATCTAAGTCCTAGTATACCTGGATAGCAAAAAAATGTCAGAAGCTTAGAGCTTTACGTAAGGTATTAAAAAAAGGGTAAGTGGCTGACCATAGGCAAATAAAATAGTCAAAGCAGGACGGTTCCTTTCCTGTAGGGGAAAACCAGGCTGACCTGGGAACGAGCGTTCCTGCGTTCCATCTTGAAACCATCACATTTATTTTGAATATTTGACAAGACTTGACATTATCATTTCAAAAGACACGAGCTGGCTCAATTCCCACTATAGATGAGGTATCTCTTTTGCTCCTGAATTAGCCAGCCTTGCACATAAGGGTGATTACTCCCCGGTCCAGATACACTGACTACCAACAATATTAACCTACAGAAAAATACGCCGGCAATACCTGCATAGCACAGACGGACAAATAGTCAGCCAGAACCTTCACTACCTGCAAAGCACAGGCACGTGGCTGTTAACACAGAAAACTGCACAAGCAATGCAGGGACAGAGCCTTTTGCAAAAGGTTGCCAGCAACGCCAGGCAGGGAGCAAAGCAAAGGGACGTGCCCACCACCAACCAGGCTTCCCTGGCAGAGCAACACTGCAAACTACCCTAACCCACCACCCTTCTTAAACAGCCACGTATCTGCTAACCCAATTTAAATTCACTAATTTACAATTATCTAGGCTCAGATAGATTAAAATGAAATGCCACTTAAAAAAATGGACATATGGGGACTGATTTGTGAAATTAATTTTATTTTTGAAACATGATATCCAATTACAAATAAATAATTCATACAATAGAACTCAGTTAGGATACACAATGTTCAGGCAGTTCATAGTAACAACCCAGATCACACTGAAAATGAGTTTACATTAAATAACCAATGACAATAATATACAACTGGTCATTCAATTAATGTTTCAGCCTGGTCCAAGATGTACGCAAGTTGAAGATTGTTTCTCTTACCAGTAAACAAACAGATGTACACAAGTTTACAGCAAGTCCAAAGTAGTTAATACACCACATTACCAAAAATTAGAAATGCTGCATTGCACTGCCTAAATGTAGTTTTAGTACGGAATAAAAGCTTGTGGATTTTAGCAGGATAAAGGTTATTGCAAAGGAATCTTGCATCCTATAGCGATTTCTGCACAACCTTGCAAGCTTTACAGGACATCTTTAATGCATGCTTTCAATTCCATACCCTTCTCCGCATCCCATCTATAAAACCAGAAGGATGTAGCTATGCGTGATGTTCTGAGGTTCATTGCACGTTGGCTTTTGCTTTCATTTCAGCGAAGTTTTACTGCTAAGATGCAGCTTCCCACTGAGGTACAGTCCTGCCTGTGGGTAAACTGCAGTAGCAGCAGCATCAGTAAACTTGCAAGGTCCTTACTGGCATATCATTTTTTAATTTCCTAACCTACTCCAGAAACATTAGCTGCTGCAAAGAACACTTATGACATCTAGAATGCATTTAGCCTGAAGTCTTGAAATATTTTTCAGTAACTGTTGGAATTTAAAGGAGATTCACAGCATTCTTGGAATTTCTTGGTCATTTTTTTTTATAATGAAATATGTGAATTTGCACAACAGAACGGTTACAATTTCCAATTATCCAGAGTCCTGGGAGGTTTATATTTACAAAGGCTTTGTTAAAACTCCCCCCCTCTGGGGGCCCCCCGGGTGAGGTATATGCCCCTTTGCTTGTAGTTTGAACCCAGAAAGACTGTTTAAAAGTTACGGCTCTTTCCATTACAAGATTCCCCACATGACGGAGCCCATTACTTCCACCATGCACTTTTCCTCATTTACTCTACAGCTGTCCGCAGCCTCTGGGACACGTGCAATACATTCCAGCAGGTACTTTTGTTGTTCTTGCTACCCTGGGCACAGGCAGACACACAAAAAAAAAAATCTAAAAAAAAAAAGAATTAAAAGGGAGAGAGACCAGGTAAATTCCTGGCTGGCCTGTAGTGCATCCACACAGGCTTTCACCAGACTCCTCTACAGCTGCCTTTCCGCTCAGCAGTGCAAGAGCGCAGGGCAAGACCTCGGAGGCAGCCAGAGGCACCTGGCAGCACAGCAGCCGACAGGACCACGGAAGCCCTGCGTCAGAAGGGCAGCTGTGGCTCCCCCCGCCACCGCAGCCCTGGCTGGTGAATGGGAAGCGTGGGGACATGGAAGTACGTGGAATCTAGCAGTCTTAAAGTCCACCTTTTGTTATAAAGACAGAACATACTCATCACAAATATTTTAAGCCCATATAAATATTTTAAAAGTCTACCTTCAACGCTGAGGCTAAAATTAATGAACTGCTTTATTTTCACGTTCTGTAGAAGAAATAAATGTCCACAATGAATCAATGTCTGAAGAAGTAGGAACTATATATATATTGACATCAATTTTTTATATAAAAAACCTGACCTGTAAAATCAAATGCACAGTTAGACTGCAACCTGATCCTGTGACTGGATTAGAAGAAAAATTAAAACTGCTATTTCCAAACCATTTTAAAAGTTTCATTTATGCGATTTATCCAAAAGTGGATTTAAAACCTTAGCAGAATAAAATACTCCAGATTTCTTCTGAATTAACAAAAAGCAGATTTATTTTCTAAAACCTGCTGCACAATGCACCAAATGATATACATAGTACTTCAGCAATTTATTAATTTCCACTAAAAACCACAAAAGAATATCTGAACAATGTACATCTTGTGCTGAGTGTGAGCTATTTAAGAACCCGCTGATGGAGCACAGATACATATTTAAGTATTAGTAATGCCTAATATATGGTGTGACACCCCCCCTACAGAGTTGGCAATTTCCACATTTGGATTCCTCAGCCATTTTCCACTGTTAGCCTTATCTCTATTTGCCAGAAGTTTTTAATTATGATCCAGATATCTGAAGGCATTAATCTCATAAATGCGCTTCCAATTTCTTTTCGTTGCTTATATTTCTGTTTGACTAGGGACGCCAAAATTCACCAAAGGGTAACAGCTTTTCATAGACAGCAGCAAGGGAAATCCATGAATAGTGGGAGAGATGGTAATGTAACACAAAATACAGCACCAACCTTCTCATCGTTTCATCAAAACTAAAGTACAGGGAACCTACTCGGTAACTTTCGGCTCCTATGAAACTACTTTCTATAATCAAAGTGTTAATTTAAGTAACATTTTAGCTTTTCTTTTAAATGAGAATTTGTATACCAAACATCTCCCAAACCTCCCGTGTCACAAATGGTCACAGCAGGAACTCCCTCCCCCAAACACAGAATTGCTGTATGCTGCCATAGAAGGGCACTGAGCAAGCCTCAGGACCTCGATTTTTAGTACTACAAGTAAACGACACACATGAGAGAATCATCTCCAAATTAAAGCCATTTTAATATTTGCTCCATCACAAAGTTGACTGATGTATGCCTTTTCACATTCTCATGTAACCCTGATTAAAATATTCTTTCTAGAAATATCTTGAAAATAAAATTCACACCTGAAACAAATCTAAACACTCTCACTGAAGAAGAAAAGATCCCCCACAGTTCTTCAAACAATATTCACATATCTCTAGGAAAACAGAAATTGAGGCTCCTTTCCAAAGCAAGAATTGGGTGTAACAAAGCAAGCAACATAAATAAGTCTGGCTGACAAACACCTTCAAATACTTGTTTTTAAAGCAAAAAAAAAAAAAAAAAAAAAAAAAAAAAAAGGTAACTAAAGAACACGGAATTAGAGGGAGATTTTTAATGGCACAAAGGGCAGCTAGGCACTGTGTGAGCTGAGAACATAACTGTCATTATGACTTTAAAAATCCCCCCAGTAAGATTTGGGCTGCAGCTAGGGCAGGGCAGGGGTCTTGCCACACACTTTCACAAACAACAGAACAGCAAACCCAGTGTCATGTCCAAACCTAACAAGAGAAAAGTTGTTACAGTCCCTCTGCTAAAAGGACACTGGCAAACTTACAAAGCATTAGGTGAAATTAATGCTGAGAGTTCTTATTAGCTCTACACAGTTCCACTACTGGATGAAATGGTCATGAGCTATTTAAAAAAAGGTGTTTCTGCATTTGAGAGCTTACTCTTAGGTTTAACTTCTGCTGTGTTAATAGCATCTTTTGGATGAAACAAGCTTTAACTAACACCTGAAAGAATACCTCCCTTTAGGCAGAGCTGTGCCATGACCATTTTTCATTTTCAGATAAAAATAAAAGTAACCATTAGGCACATATTGAAGGTGTATTACACTAGCTGGAATGTCAAACATTTTCTCCCTCGGATTTACACAGAAAAATAGCACAGCAGCAAGTAACCCGGTCCTCTATTCAACAATGATCTCGTTACAAGCATTTTCAACGTACATAATGTCACAACATCAATACCTTCTTATCTTTAAATAATTAGGTAAAAAAAGGCCCCCAATATAACCATTTCTTATATAGCCAAGTTCTCGCTATATACATCCAAATTTTAAAGATACAAATAAAACATTATACAGGATTTATAAATGTTTAAAAACTTGAGGCTTCAGAATCATGGCTTCCCAAAAAGACTTGGGGAAAATCCACAGACTGACAAGGTAGCAGAGAAAACTGGAAAAAAGGAGACAGACACACGTTTGCTGCCATAACATTTTACTAAACTTGCCAGTCATCATGGTGATGTTATCAGAAATAACAGTTTAAGCTACAGATGAGGAATGGTGGTTTTGTGTGTTGATCTCAAGTGTTGAGACAGGCAATTCAAGTATTTCCTATTTGATCCAAGCTCATTGTAGCAAAGTGGTGCAGAAAATAGAATTATTTTACATTTTTTCCATACATTCTATCAATGTCCATTTGATAATATGCAGTAAGCTCTTTGCGTTTTAGTTTGAACGCATCTGTCACTAGACCAGTCTCAGGGGTCCAAGGATCAGGGCTCAAACGAATTTTTAATGGTATTTCAAACTTCTCCAGATTAGCTGTAAAAATAAACATTTTTTTTTAAAATACAAAATGCAGATGTAACCATTTTCCTACAATTAAGCACAAAAGGAGGAACTGTATCCTCACACAGAGAAGGACGTGACATAAATGAAGAAGTGCTCCTCAACCCCCGCCCTCCCCACCCCCCTGGTTAGCTTTGAAAACCCACGTGGTCACAAGCAGAGTGACAGGATCCACAAGCAGCTTTTCTCCAGTTTCCACAGAAATATTGAAATAAACCCCAGCTGTTTGGGTGGCTGTGCTGCTCCCTAACCAGAAAATCCTCGGTGCAGGGAAGTGACGTCCTCAGAACATACAGTGTTGTATCAGTGTTATGACACTCATCTTCTGGAGGTAAAGCCTTACAATCCATACTACTACTTAAGCTTGAAAAGAACAGGGAGAGGGGGTTGTGGTTTTTCCCTGATCATCCTGAATTGTTCAAGGAAAGTAAGTTCATATGGTAGCTGCTCCCCTTACTGAAACAGAACAGTGCTCTGCGTGTTACACCTTTAGCACAAAACCAGTATATTGGTTGCAAGAACTTCTGCTATGGTTTCAGACATAAGAGAAGAAAACAAAATCACTAAGAAAAGTAATCAACAGATGGGCAATATTAAAAAAAAAATCTATTTTCAGGTTAAATGAAAAAAAAATCCACAAATATATAATTATATTCTGTGCAACCTGCCATTTTTAGATTTTCTTGCACCTTTTACTCCCCTTGACATTAAATCACTGGGTTGGGTTTTTTTACAATTTAGTACTAAAAATCGTAATATTGCTTTAAAAGTAAAGCCTATGATACCAAAGTGAAAAAGATCCCCAAATATAAAATAATATCAAAATGTATGAAAATGCCTCAGGATTAAATCAAATACTCAGTTTCATCGATTTTAACAACATATTTCATTCTCTTTAGAATAGTTAGTGCTGCACAAAATAGAAAAAGAAAGCAACTTTGTACATGCTCTCCACTGCAGAAGCTTCTTCGTGTGACTTTGCCCATACGCTCCGTGTGGTGAAGAAAAATGGACAATGAGAATGCCATGGGGCAAGGAAAAAAGGGTCTGCTGCAGTATTGAGACTGCACTCATCGTTAAGAGTATGCTCCTGTAACAGAAGGCTTTATATTTTTTTAATATATATTTTAAAATATATTTAATATATTTATATTGTATATATTTAACTTTTATATATCTAAAAATATAAATATATTTAATATATTTAGAAGTAATATAGAGAAGAGACAAATATTAACAAGACTAAGATTGTTGGAAGCATAAAATTATCCAGGGTAGAAAAGATGAGGAGAAAATGCAAAAAGGTGCAGAAGGAAATCATGATACTGAGCGACTGCAAAACAGACAGCAGAAAACATTCACTGCAAAGAAGTGTAACACAGAATGCGTATGAAAAACAACTAACATCCACAATGACCATTTAAAAAATATTCTGTGGTCATAACTGACAGCCTTACAAAAAAAGCTCAGTGCCTAGTAATGGTCAAAAGCAAAACCAAGGCAGAAATACTGTGAGAGAACAAACAAAATATCACTGTGCCACTGTTTAATGCTGCACCAGAACAGCTAAGTAGACTATGGCCAATTAGCATGAAAAAGATACAGCTGAGGAGGGAAGTACAATAGCCACTGAAAAAAAAAATCACGACCGCCATTGTGACTGTTCACTGCCTCTTCCCGCACAAGAGCTCGGCAGAACCAAATTGAACTAGCAGATGAAAGGGTTAAAGCAAACAAGAGGCATTTCTTCCCATGAACGTAGCGGAGCTGTGCAACTCCGCCACAAGTCAGTATGGATCCTGACACAGAATATTCACATAGCTTTAAAATGAGACTAGAAGAGTTAATGGAAGAAAAGTCTACTGAGAATTAGCTACAAAGACACTGCTTTCAGTTTAGGAAATCCCTCAGATGCAAGTGACTGGAAGCTAGGAGAGCCCCTGCCACCAAGGGCTTATTTCAACTTTGCATAGGTTCGTATACACATGAGACTGTATGATACCCAACACACGTATCATGGATCTACAGATGACCCACATTCTTTTGGATCAGCAGCTAGGGCCAAAAAGGTCTTACAGGACATCTTAAAGAGCACCAGGCACACACATATACAGGGAACTGAAGTGAGCTCGTTAGGTTTGCCCTGTTTTTATATTCTTTCCTCAGCTATTACATGAGTTACATGAACTAAAAGGACTGACCCAACTCATGTTTTGTTGTTGGGTTTTTTGGTATGAAAATTTCACTTCATACATGTTCTATGAAATATACACACTCAAGGGAATATTTTCAGGGCCTATGCTTATCTGTTTCACAGACATTATGGTCCACAAGGTTAGTACTATCTGCCCAGCTACTCACCTGCCATGGCAGCCTCAGCTAGCACCTTCAGTACCTCTTTTTCCATCTCAGGACTGTTACAGATCTCTTCCCAGGTTCCTTTAAATCCTTTCTTTCGAGCTAGTTCTGCAAGCTCCTTTTGATTTGGCACAACAAATCCAATGACATAAGAATGGAAACTGAGAAGTATAATGTACTTTAGTATGAATTCTGTAAAAGTTAACAAGTGTTCAAAAGTAACATTTCAAGTTGGAGGGTTTGCACGTCATACAGAGATATTGCTCTTAACAGTTGGCTTTTGTTCACCTGATAATCTTTCTGAAATAGTACACGAATTACCTTTGCCTGCTTAAAAATAAGTAGAAAGAGAAGCTACTTACCTTACAGCAACTGGATTGCTTCAAGGTGTGCTGTCCATATGCATATTCCACTGTGTGTCATGCTCAAAGCTTTGGGGAAGCAGTACCCACACGATGTCAATGCGCCCTGCCTCTCCTCATGTTTTGCATCCCGGTACGAAGACTGGTGTGCGGCTTCCCTACCTCAGTTTCCTCTCAACTGCAGAATCCAGTTACTGTAGAGGAGTAGAGGACTGCAGTGAAGAGGGGTTGGAGAGCAGGTTGTGGAATGAGCATATGCACAACACATCTCAAAGAACACCTGCTTCTGTAAGGGAAGTGACTTCTCTTTCTCCTTCAAGTGATTGTCCACACACTTACTCTACTCTTGGCAATCTTTGTCTGCTCCTGATATGCCTAGAACATATGAAGCTGAGATCTCAAAGTCTTTGGAAAACACTGAAGCACAATTTGCCCTGAAACAAGTATTCAAGATTTTTCAGATGGTGCAAAGTTTAGGGAAAACATAAACAGAACCTCACATAGCAACTCCACACATTCTAACAAAGCAGATCACAAAATCAGAGAGCTGAAAGCGACCTCAGAAGGCCACCTAATTCATTCACCTGCCTTGAAGCAAGGTAAGCTACATCTAACAGATGTTTGTCTAGCCCGTTTTTAAACATCAGGCAAACGCTAATGCCTGTGCTTCATTATTCTTAGCACTGGTAAGCTGTTCCCGATGGCTATTCTTGACCTTACTCATTGCAGTTTACATGCAGTCAGATGTCCCTCTCCTTTCCACAGAAGTCATTTATTTGTTCACAGACTATTTTTTTTCCTTCTCACCTTTCTAGTCTTCCTTCCTTTATTTCTTTAGGAATTTAAGCAATACCCTTTCCTCTTCAGTCATGCATCACAGATCTCTGCTCAGCTGTTCTCATTTTTCTCCTGGACTCTTTTCAAGAGGTCCACCTTTTCTGAAGCATCGCATGTGGAACTCAGATCCTCTAATGCTTGGTAGAGCAAAGAGATCATTGTGCATCTTGTAGACTATACATCTGATTATGCCATGTTATTTACCTTCTTATGATCATATGGCACTTGTTGACTCATGTCAACTCCTACAGAACTGCTACCAGCTGGTGGTTCTCATCCTGTATTTTTGCATTTATTTAGGTGTAAGTATAATTTCCATTTTCTCCTCTTCAAACTGACTGCTGTTTTCAAGCAAACTGCCATCTAGTCAAGCTTGCTCTGAATTCTAATCCTGTCCTCCACTGTACCTTTAGTCTTGTCCCACCTTAACCATCTACAGATTTATTAAATCTTTTCAACTCTCTCTTTCACCAGACAGATCATTAATGCAAAATACAGAACCTTAACCCTGGTATGGAGATTACTTTAGCTTATCCTTTAAGGTCTCCAAGATAATTTTAAAATACTAACTCTAAATACCCTTTTGGTTACTGTACATTGCAATTTTCTCCTTTGTTACTGGTATGAATTATAATGAGCATCTGACAGCAGCTGTGAAGACGGCACAGGAGTCCATTGCAAACACAGGCTTCTTTGGCATCATCTGTCAACAAGCTTTACCTGTTGGCTGACTCGAAACAGTTCTCATTTTTTCTCTTACTAAGAACATACTTACAGAAAGACTTCAGATTAGCCTCAGTATCACTTACTGCTTGTGTCTCACCTTCTGTCTTTACCCCTCTCATCTTTTTCCTGCCATGCACTCGTGCTATACTCTGTACTGAACCCTTTTAACGTTGTCTAGGGTCTACTCTGTAACGTGTATGTATTACATATGAAGGCACCCAGAACACAAAGGACACTGGCACTTTCATCCCTGGTTCCTGTAGTCTTTTGACAAACTTAAGGTTATATCCAGCACCAGTGTCTCCAGGGATAAACAGCATACAGAAGTAATCAGTTGGCTGGGTAAGCCTCAAACTTTCAGTTCACCTAAAATTCAGCCTCTTGAGTAGAAGCATAATTCCTCTGGACAAATGGGTTCATCCATCACCTATGCTTTTTCCTGGAAAGAGCACGCTGGAGCTCACAGCTCCTGGAACATGGAGCTTTTAATTCTGTACCACTAAGTTAAATCTTCACTTGTTGTAGAGTTCAAATGTTAAAGCACTGTTTGTCTTCAGAAGTATCCTGAAGACCTTAACTTCTCTCTGGAGCAGCTACTTCCCTCTTCACTACTGTTCCTTCTGTAGATCTTTTGAATTTGCTAGCTTCTTCAGTCTTGGAGGTTATAACAGCAGCATGAAGGAAAAAATTCTCAGAATTTGGTCCTCAGGACCTCCTTTGTCACCTCCTCCACACTAGGAGATTTTGCCAGAACATTTCTCCTACACTAGGCATCTTCATTCCCTTGCTGTGCTTGAGATCCTACCCAAGTACGGCCCTCAGACCTACAGTAAGAGACACATACAGTGGCACTACATGTCAATATCACCATTTCTGTTCTATAAAGTCTGATCCTCAATAGCTCTCCTTGAGCTTCCTGCCGAGCACTCCCTTGGTTTTTGCCATGTGTGCTCATTCCTCAGGTAAGTGAACTACTCATTTTGCTGACACAATGCCCGAGACCCAGTCAATGCATCCTGGATGGACGAAGTGCTGATAAAGCAGTAGGAGTCTCCTCTGAAGGTGCTCTAAATCATGATTCCTTTCAGCAAACATTTTATTTCTTATCTCACTGAGTACTTTCCCTGGTCAATTAATACAGCTTTTGAAGAAGCAATATTGTCCAAGCACTTTTGATTCCCTACTACCATGTTCAGAGGGGCTTTGCACCTCAAGATCTAAGGCCAAATCACAGATTTAACCCATTTGTAAAAGTCTGCCCTCCTTGTCCTTTTGCATATGGAGATAGAACAGCTACACATGAAGGACTCCTCTTGATCACCCAGGCAAAGTATAAGGAGAGACAGGATATGAGAGGTCTTAGGCACTGCTAATAAGAGTCTCCAAGCTCACACTGCTGAGGTGAGTATATACCCACAATGAAATGTGCATATGGACAATCATTCAGAGAATCTGTATTACATGGCTACTTATGTCAAATTACACACATGAAAGTATTAAGAAATACAGCAGCAGCAAAAAAACCAATCTGGAATGTACTTGGCTTCTGTTTGTAAATTACCTTTAGAAATTGCTCATAGGTTTTCCTATTTTTAAGTAACAGAAAAGACCCAGACTATCAGATTCAAGTGCCTGTCTGACAAGTGCCTCCAATATTATGTTGACCTGGCAAAATAAACACAATTCCAACAGTGAACTTCAAGCCTAGAGCAGCAGAAATCACCATCTGCAAGAACCTCTTTCTCCATAGACTTCAGAGGGTGCTCAGAACAGGCACATAACCTCAGGCAGTCCGAGCAAGCAAACACGAGACTCACTCAACGAGTCAAAACCACAAATAAAGCTTAATTTAATGGAAGTTCTCTCAGCAGTGGCATGCCCAATGCGTGCAAGCCTATTGAACCAAAACTGAAGTTACCGGATGACTACCACTAGTTAATAAAAAAAACCACCACAGAGAACCAGGTGAACAAACCAAAAGTTAATTTTCTATTTATTACCACTGAGCAATTCTCTGGTATGCTTGTCCTGGCCTCTTTCGATCAAAGTTATCAACTGGGGCCTTTTTGGCCATACTGGAAATTACAGTATTTTTGATCATTCAGAAGCTCAAAAATTATTTTCCAAACATCAAATTGACAACAAGAAACAAAGACGACCTGAAGTATATTTATGTGTGTAAGTCTAGATCATGCACAGGTAGGAAATTCTAGAAATAGAAACTTATGTTTGAGCCCTTATATGCCTAATTCAGTAGTACATGTAGAAAGCAAATAGAAAGGACACTTGACCATAATTTATTACTTATGTGCTTGCATAGTATTTACAGAGCATTTTCTCTCAAGCTTCCAGGCTTCTGCTGATGTACTGCAGGGGTTAAAGAAAAGTATTTTTAATGCGCAAGCCAGCTTCTAGGCTGTTGGTGGGGTTTTTTCCCCTGCCTTCCTCTGAAGTACAACAGTACTTCCTCTGAAGAACACAGCTAAATACAGCAAGGAACAAGGTGTCCTAGGGCTTCTATAGGTAATAATCTCTAAAGTGCTTGAGTCATGTCTGTTATGAATGCAGTCAGAGCTTATCTGCTTTTCAGATTGGGGAAAAAGGAATGAAAGAGACTCATTCTTGGCATTACAAATTATGAAAAAAAAAAAAGGGAAAGGAAAAATAAACCCATACATTTCAGATGTTTTAGTTTTGATAGAGAAAGTTATTCCATTGTATTCTAAGTAAAATCCTTTTTCATCTGGTTTAAAATATTCCACACACTGAGCAGCAAAGAATTTTGCTTACAGCTTCAGTAGGACAAAGAATACAGCAATAACAAAGCATCAGCTGCCTCTTACCTGCTGGCATACACACAAATATTATCTACCAGTGGAAGATTCTTTAGAGCTGCTTCTACTTTGCCAAGAGAAACATATTCTCCTGCCTGGAGTTTTACGAGATCTTTTTTACGATCTATTGAGGAAAAAAGGAATTAAACGTTAATTACAGAACACAAAAATTTAGACATTGATTTCATACTTTTCTGAAATGTATGTATAAATGCCAAAAGGTAAGCCAACTCATGTTTGGTGAACATACCAGAAACATTTCATGCCAGGTTTCCAGACTTTGCATTTTATCAATCTGTCCCTCGCATAAAAATGAGACACATTTCAATTCCATGCATTTTCTGCCTTTAGGACAGCATTTCCTGTATGACAGCACTGTCATGTGAATGGTAGACAACTAGGATTACGCAGAAGCCAGTGTTTGGCTAGAAGCACACATTTTGTGCTATCTGGTCCAGACGCTTAAGGCAGGAGATGCACCATTTGGTGACATTTTGTTATTTATTCCCAGGCTAAATCTAAAGAGCAACTGTCCACCTGTTATCTGAAACACAACAATAGGAACCAAAAGTTAAGCTCAAATTACTTGAGCTTATTGTACACAGCCCAAAGGAGGCAAAGGTGACTACAGGGCCTTACCTACTTCTCTGTGCTGGCAGCCAGGAGTGCCTCTCCTTTGCTATATACCTTCATGCTGCTTTGTGCAACCAGGCAAGGTAGTTTTGTGGCTGTCTAACCTGTTTGACCACTGCAAGGCAGCTGCAATGGGACCTAAGATTCTTCTCATATAATAAACCAAATAAGCTTACTTTTCGGGATTAAAGAGCACCCTGAATCACCCACTGACTTCAAGTGAGAGACACCTGGTGCTCTATAAAGAGCACCTATTTTTGTGCCTACAGGTGTTAAAAATTGTAAGCCTGTCACAGGCTTACGTACAACACCTTTACCTTAGTGTATTTTTCCCCTAGTTCCTTTATGATAAAGGCATATTCTTACTAGAAAGAATGGCAGGATTAAAAAAAAGCTGATTTAATTCCTGACCACATATTACCAGAAGAGCCCTTTCACTGAATCAAATTACACACTTACAAAATTATAAGATCTAAGGCAGCTTATCTAACTCAATTAGCCTGTATTTAACTCTCTAATTACCACCCAGTCTCACTAACAGAGTGGAGTCAATGTAAAGACTGTTTTACAAGGAGGCAATTGTTTTAAAAATCAGCTTTTAAAACACACAATCAAATTTACATTAACATATCAGGATTTCCCCAGGATACAGGGTCAGGCTTTAGCCTGCATGCCAAGATACAGAGATTTTTTTTTTTGGTTAATTACAGTATTTAGCAGTCCTGAAAAATATATATATATGTTCAGCTGAATTTATTTAACTCACCAATAATTTTTAGACATCCATCTTGATGAAACTCTCCAATGTCTCCGGTATGGAGCCACCTCTGCCCATTCTCATCAACAGTGAAATCTTTTTTGGTTCGTACTTCATTTTTGTAGTAGCCCACAGTCACATTTTGCCCTCCAATAAGAATCTCACCTCTAGGATACGGTTTATCAGTGTTGTAATATCCACCTGAAAGTACGGTTTTTATTAAGTTAACAAGAATTAAAATATATTCCAAAGCAAGAATTCCTATTATTTTTACAATTTAAATATAGAATTAAATACTTTCTAAGTCCTTAGCCAAAGTTACCACTTGCCTAAGTAGTTCAGTAAGAGAAGGGGTGGTTCCAATTCTTTCCAGCATATAAACAGCTATTTAACATGTGTGTTTACAAACAGTGAAATTCACACACATGCAGAGGGCAAATGCCACCTCTATGCAATCTTTCTGCCAGGACCAACACGCTCTATCAGTTTTATACAGGCTCGAATAAAAAAAAAAAAAAAAAAAAAAAAAAAAGATAAATTTCACCTCATATTTTAAGAAAGACAAAAACTATAAGGTTTCATATTAGCCCAAAACACCCTTAAGTATTACATATTTCTACTCTATGATACATAAAAGCCTACAGTGAAAGGAAATCACCTAAATACATTCCAAGCTTCATTAAATATACTTTATGTAACATCCATTAAACTTCCATTCCATACACCACTTTTAAAATTATTTTATTAATAATAATATTATGAAGACTATTTTCAAATAATTTCTTAATGGCCACACTTCAATTGAAGTCTCCTGAATCCAGCACCTCTACGACACAATGTACAAGAGCTGCACCCTGTCCTGCAAGAATACTGATCTAAATCAGGAGGTGGTACAATACTGTATACATTTACACAATATGTATATACAATTATAGTGACTGGAATAAAAGAAATAGTATAGCCCAAGAGAGTCATAATACAACCTAGTCAAAATGCCATTGGCATTGATAGCTTCTGCCTAGATATTTGTAAGTTTAAAAACCACTGAGGAATTTGTTTCACTTTTTTTCTCCCTCAAGATCAAACTTTCATAAGTAAAAATAACATTTAAAGTTTTAAAAGTCAAGAAGTAGTCTTCTAATTACTACTACTGAGCAAGCCCTATATAAAACCAGATATATAAAAGTTCTTACAAACACACTATGATTTAATCACATAGAGGAATTCTCACCTTCTTCCCAGTTCATTAACTTGATTTCACAACAGACCAAAGGTGCTCCCACTCTCCCGGTAGTGTAGTCCCAAACTAGAATTTTAAAAAAGAGCATTTTTCAGAAAAAAAATTACCAAAACTGATTTGAAAAGATCTTTGTTGTCATGCATCTTATTTAGTGAAAATTAACTGCTATTTATTTATGAACTTTAATTCACAGAACAGAACTTCCAAGAAAACCAATGGATACGCCAAGGTAATGCAGATAAAACCCTTATCCTGCAAAAAAGAACAGGTGGCTGGATTTACAGATACCTCCAGTGATACCAACATAGCCTTGATAGTAAGCTCTCCATGTAGGATCACACCGCAGAAGCAGCGCAACAACTTTAAATAGTGTTTGCTGGACTCTGAACTAAGTAACAGTATTTCATAACAATTCAGGGATTCTGTATTTTGATTCACTTTCCTGAAATCTCAATCCCAAATGTTTCTGCATCTGGGCATCTTCCCAAACGAGTATCACTGGAGACTACATCATTTGCATTACAGTTTCACTTTTTTCCCCCAAGCTACTGAAGAAGCCATTTCCAAAGACCTCCTGGAATAAAAACCACAACACAGCAGTTTGTGGATCACCAAGGAACATGTTCTACAATCCAGCATAATCTAGCAATGAACCTTAGATACTCCTTATATGATTCCTAGGTAGATGTTCCAAAAAATAGCAGCTCTGACTGTTTCTGCCACCACTGAATATGAGTGAAATTTTAGGACTGAAAGGCAACTGAAACCTTAAGTTCTGTTACATGAAATTAAAAGTCTGGTGCAGGTTTTTGTATTCTGTTTTTTGTTTTCCTAATGTCTCAATATACTCACCAAAATTAGAAATAATTTATTCAGTTCAACTGGTAAGAGCAGTAATGCCAAGATTCCATTCACACTATTACAGGTTTCTCTATTACAAATGAGAAGATTCATTTTATATGTAGGTCACCAGCTTTAGCACAATGTGTCAAAATCAGCACCCCTACTGTTTTATACATTTATGATTACAATTAATTCCCAGGATTCCCCAGTTATGTTTGGTGGCACACACCAAATCAACAGACTGTCAAAAATGGTACATGCAGAGCGCTCAGCACGGATCACAGCACTCAGTGGGACGCACTGACACCAACCTTCCGTGATTGTTCCAGCTCCAGCTGATTCAGTTAGTCCATATCCCTGTCCTACAGGGCAACAGAAACAAATGTTCATGAAGCGCTGAGTTGCTGCAGAGAGCGGAGCTCCTCCACAAAGCAGGATGCGAATTTTTCCACCTAGCAGCATTCGTACTTTCCGAAAAATAAGGCTAAAATGCAAAGATAAGAGTATATATTTGTTGCTTGAAAACAAAACGAGAGAGCGTACTTGATTTTATATCTGAACTAAAAGTTTCCACCATCTTCAGATAAACTTTTATGGTATTCAAGGAAAACTTTGAAGGAGCACATTTAAGTTTTCAAAAACACAGGCTCATATTTCTAACCTTGTTTCCACATTCTAATTTGAAGATGGGTTAAATGTTTTGAGAACATAGATGTAGTAAGACAGTAACATCCTCTGCTTTTCTTCCCCAAAATAATTTAAATAAGCTGTATAAATTTAGGACTTATATTATGCTTTAGTCTCACTGAAGTTGGGAGTTGGACTCAATAATCCTTATGGATTTCTTCCAACTTGAGATATTCTGTGATTCACTTCTGTGAAAATGTGAAGTCTACAGTCATCTATAGGAACAGACTTCCCATCTTACCCAAGAATTGTATAAATCCATTATTAAAGTCCTGATGAAAACAATGTAATTAATATAAATCTCCAGTCAGTTTCAAGTTAAATAACATTCACTGTAATTACATCAGTAAATATTTAAAATCACACACAAACTACTGACTTGCTGTTTCAATTTACACTTAATTACAGACTTGTTCACATTCAAAGTGTCAACAGTTAAACAAAGAAAAGCACAAAAAACCCAGATACTGCTCATGTGGTAAGACTTTGGTAAGCATTTTCTTTGGTGCCATTAAAAATAAAGTTACCTGTCGCAGAGCGGGGTAGTGTAACCTTTGGAAATCTGTTCCATTTTGTAGTTGTAGGCCAATATAAATAGATTCCTCTGGAAACTAGTCATTTCATTCACTTTATTCATGACATTTTTGTAGATCCGATCCATAATTTCCTAGTTACATAAAAAGATTAACTTTGAGTTAAAGAAACAGAAATCCTAAATTTAGTACAACAAAAAGGAAACATGTTCTAGAAATTCTAGTGCATTTCAGATGACAACCCGCTCCCTGGTTGCTTCCTCTTCCATTGCTAAGAGATAGCAAAAAGGAGGAAACCAAACATCTGAGCAGGGGCACGAGTTAACCCCAAGCTACTTGCTGCCACCTATCTTTATTCCAATCATTTACTAGGACGAACAATAGATGACTAATTAAAATGGTAATCTAATCACCACCATTTAAACTTCGAAAAATGTTGACACTCAGACGATGAATGTTTATCCCCAACATACAAATAAATACCAAAAATATTACATTAGGCTAGCTTAACATCAAAGGTTCTACCCTTTCTATTTAAATGATCATTGCATTAATTTTGTTGTTAAAAATTTGAATTATGAATTATATTTTTTAATAATTTTTAAAATTATTCATCCTTCCGTTACTTACCGGGACAGCTGCCATTAGGGTTGGCTTAAGTGTAGTAACATCACCTTTGCTTCCTTTCTTTATTTTAGAGGACTAAAGCAAAGAACAAGTTTACTAGCAGACACATTCAAGATTTTTAACACGAGAAACAAAATGACACAGCATGCTTTTCAAACATTTTCATTTAAATTACATTTTAACAATGAAAAATTAGTCCAGAGTACCAGTCATAACCACCTGTTTCAAGAATTCTAGATAAGAAGATTTATTGTAATATTTTTTAAGAAATATTACAAATATTTGATTTTTTTTTTTTAACACCCTAAGGGCTTACATCTACAACATACCTGGTCAGCTAATGTCTGAGGCGAAGAGTAACCGATGCGGCATCCATGAGACAGACACACAAGTTCAGCACTCAACTCCAGAACATGGGCAAGAGGCAGATAGCCAATATAGATGTCTTTTTCCCTGTAAAGAATTTTTAAGATAGGTTTATATTGTACCATTAGAGTCCTCAGATGAGTCATTAAGCTAAATTTACACAGAGCTTACTGCAGAACTAGAGAAAGTGGAAAAATGCCTTTGAACTTGAGAATGCATTTCAAATAATATGGGGTTTTTTTCAAAAGTTGTGTACTACATACTGTAGGTTTAAGGCATGAACAAAGCGTGATGTTTACTCAACCGAACACAATTAACCATGTATTATTGTTGCAAAGGCAACTCTGTGGACAAGATTAAAAACTGCACCAAACAGAAAGAAACCACAGGATTTCACACTAACCAAAGAAGTACTGCTTAGGGAAGTTTTCAACCACGCTAGTGCAAGGCGGCCTCACAGGCTTTTGTGTCCCGGTCTTGCCCACATACAGAAGACGAGAGAACAAACAGCACATGAAGTAGTCATGTCATTTAATGCAGTACTGGAAGATGCTTAGACATCAGTGCATAGCATGATGTGTCACAGACAAAGCAATATAAAACAGTTAATATTTTACACAGTAATTAATGTAAAGTTATATGCAACTACATGACTTCTTTATTTGCTGGTAACTGTTGGTACGTACCCCAGATTTGGAATCCTCTCAGCCATTCCAGTTATCCCAGCAATTATGTTGCAATGAGAGATCATAACTCCTTTGGGAACTCCTGTGGATCCACTTGTGTACATGATCACCGCGATATCTGAGGGCACAGGCCTGGCCTGCTGTTTGTTTCCTATAATTTGTGGTTAAAAAAAAAAAAAAAAAAAAAGAGAGTGTATAATGTGTGGGAAGCTTATCAGGCTGGGAGACCCGCTATACTAACACAGTACAGCAGTCATTCCAGTATAACACTACATGTCATTACATTTTGCTTTCTGTTGAAAAGATTGTGGCCAAACTTAAGTGCCTTCACAAAGAGACGGAACTTCTTTGTATTAGCTGAGCAATACTTTGAGTGATTGTCCTAGTCTACCACCACAACACTTTTCCTATTATGTTTCACATATTCCTGCAGAAGAGAGAATAAACGGGCAGAGCTTTGGCTTCCCCAAAATGCCACTGAGCTTCACATCCTTAGGAAGGGATGCTGTGCTGGTTCCATGCTGCTGCAGGGTCAATCCCTGTTTGCAAAGGTACTTTCTCATGTGCTCCGTGGCAGGGGCACAACACCCTGCTTCATTTGCAACACCTGCAGCTGCTGAGCCAACATGAGGTCCAATTTCTAGAAATATTTAAAGGAAGTTCAAAAGCTTTAATAGGATTAAAGTGTTTTTTAAATACTTGCACTGAGAGCAAGAAAAACATAAACCCAATTGTGTTTATTCAGAGGAAAAACTGCATAATGAGCAATACATGCAGCACAACATACACGCTGAATGAGAAGCGTGAAAGAATCCTGTCCATTCTGCATGATGAACAGCAGAGGAAAAAAGCAGCTCATGTATTTAATATAATATTAATTGAACATGCTTGACAATAAACAACTCATTGTAGTATTCCACAATTTATGAATGGTTAACTTGACAAAGATAATGTTCCTTTATCATAGTGTATAGTATGTGATATTTCAAAGACTGAAGAAAGAAGGATTAGACACCTTTTTACATAGCACACAGATTAATGAATCTCACGGCGCTAATGCATTATAGCCATAATTTTTTCTGTTGGTATTGTCTGAAACAGGTTTAACAGTGCATAAAAGTGGTACATCAAAAAGGGAAAAACATCTTTTAAAAGACATTGAGAGGTCACGATGCTGGGAGCAAACTTGCCATTCCCCTGAACATCAACAGCAAATGGATTAACCACCCACCCTACTCCTAAATCAAAATTCAATCCAACATTCATGTGCCTTCAGTGGTTACAAGATTCTGAAAACACAAAGAATAAGAACAGAAGAAAGCAACTACTGAATATAATGGAATCTTAAGACACTAGGTTTAGCAGCTCTTCAGAGCCAAGAATAAAAATTTGTTACAATAGCTAAAACACCTTCTGAAATTCTGAATTCTAATTCTAAAAACGTTACATAGATTGGAAATAGATTTCAAGAAATTTACATAGTATATTGATACTTTCAGAAATGCAATAAAAGTGACAGTTCTATCAGATTTAAATGGCTAGTTTACATTTTTTTATTAGTTAATTTAACAAAAGTTAATGGTAGCGAATTACTGATGTCTTTTGCTATAAAATGCACAATAGTTTTCTCTGTGTGCTCTCAATAACCTGGCTTTAATATGTCTGATTATAAGAATGCTTTCTAAGGTTCTGTCCTGGCCTAAATGCTTATCCTAAAAATTATTCTTCAACATGTGACACTTGTGGAGAAGAGAGTTTTTAATAAAAGTATTTTACACTACTCTGTTGAAAAACAAAACAAGACAAAGCGCACACCCCAAAATCCAACCACAACCAAAAGATCCCACAGATTTTATTTAAAGAAAAAGCAGATGATAAAGGTTAATCACTGCATAAGTTGAGATCTGCAATTTTCTCAAATTTACTCAATGGGGTCAAAGTAGGACAACAAATGAGACTGTCCAAATAGGAAGAAGAGATAACCTACCAGTATCTGCCTTGGCCCCCATAGCTTGCACAGAAGCCATAGTGTGAACAATGACACCCTTGGGAAACTCCGACCACGTTGTTGGTTTGCCATCCACTGTAATAATATGTCGCAGTAGTGGAACTTGAGAAACAATTTCCTGTGGAAATGAACATGTGTTCAGAAATCAAACATGAAGTTTGTGCCAACAAGAAGAAAAAAAAAACCCCTATCTACTCTATACATTAAAAAAAAAAAAAAAAAAAAAAAAAAGCGTTGACATAAAATATCTGAGAATTTAAAACACCAGAGGATAAAGGTGTCTAGCTCTAACAGCTATAAAAAGCCTGAAACTTCCCACATTTAGATTCGCAGGTCTAACTGAACCTTCCACTTAAAAGTCAAAAAACTTTTCCAACCATTTACTGCTCTGGGTCTTACTTCAAGAAAATTCCACAAATGAGACTGCAAAGATTTGTAGCGATAAGTGACTTTTCCACTCTCAGAGAGCACTGAGAAGAAAAGGTCCTGGGCAGCTGGCAACACTGAGCTCACAGTAATTCCTATCCTGCTCCTTGATTACTATGCTATTTAAAATAAGCAACAGCTAGCAAAAATACAGAAAATTATTAGTTAAGCATTTCAATCAAAATGTGAGTTTCAAAACAATTATCAGTGTTCTAGTGGAAGAAGAGATGATTATAATCTCTAGCAGAAGAAACTAATTCTCTTTCTGCAAGCTGAAATAATGTGCATTGCATATATACTGTCATTCTAGTAACTTAAAAAAAGATTTGGGAAATTCTCATTCAAAACTCAGCAATAGCACCCTGTTTTTAATTAAAACAACTCCCTTATTTGAAAGGTCTAGTTCCCCCAAAACACATTATGATGAAACCCATACAGGTAAGTTGTTCCACTTGCGTATTCAATCTGGGTCAGTAAGTCAAAAAAGTTTTTTGACCGTTCTCAATGCTTATTAAGTTTTCCCCCGCACTAGTTAACAGCTCTAATGCTTCAAGCACCCATCTTTAGATTTAAGAGCCATTTTCTGCTGGGAAAACAGCCAACAATAAATCAGGAGGATGATCACATTTAGCTATTCGTACACAGTTTATACATTTTTCTGTTCTTCCCATTTGCTTCAGCTGTTAAATTTATAGGCACTAAATCCACCCAGAAACCGCAGCAGTTTCTTCTAAAGGTGTTGCTCCAGGCAGCGCCGCAGCTCTTCAGTAGTGCAAATTGTTCATCCTGTTCTCCAAAGTCACTGAGGAGCCTAAATCCCACCGAAGGCTAACTATGTTTTTTTCTGTACATGGAGACAGATACATAAATCTTATTCCAAAAGAAGTGTCTGCCCTATAGAAAGGCAATAAATCATTGTTCTGTGCAGTGGAACCGGGTTTTTTAACAATAACGAACAGATACACTGGGAAGAGGTAGACAAAGAACAGTTTTCTGACCTTCAATTTTGTTTGCATCAGTTCTTTACTAGTAATGATGGTGGTCACCTCCGTCTCATTTAGCCCATGTACTATTGCTGGGCCTCCCAGAGTAGCATACAGAGTAACAACTGAAACAGAAAGGGGGGGGGGGGGGGGGGGGGGGGGTGTTGGACTGAGATTAATCTATTCTAAGTTAGGCAAAACAGTAAAAAAAAAAAATATAAAGGTGGTATACTTTTGTGCTTTAAAAAAAAATACATATTAGATTTAAATACAGCACCATTTTCCGTTACTCCCAGAAGGGATAAGAACCACCATTGTCCTTGTGACTTTACTATTTTTCGACTATTTTTCAAGGTCTAACTAGAGATACCAAAACCCCATTACCCTATGTAATTCTCTTCTAGATCTACTCTTGTACCTTCACGGCTTTTACCATTTTAAAAGTAGGCATCTGTTTTCAGTTTAATACACTAACAGTCGTCTTGTACACAGAAAAGAAACGGCTTTCATTTACATGACTTCTCTTTTCAGAATTCACACACTCTGCCTTTTACAATTGACTGCTAATAAGAAATTCTAACATTGTAATACATTCTATCAGCAGATTGAGCCTCACACTCAGTAATAAATCTGTGACTATCATATTCTCCCATATATTTAAAACATTATAAAGGTTTAATCATCACAATCATTAGACATTGAACTGACATCATGAGAATACAGAACAGCAAGGAAAGAAAAAGATTTAGGAAGTTGACTATTAGAAACACCATTTCCTGTATTTAAGGACAGCTCATTAGCTATAGAGTGTTAAACCACAATTATTTCATACTAACAATTTTAAAATCATATTTAATTTCCTTCCATTTTAATGGGAACTGCATGAGAAAAGACAGGAAGAGACTGGGGAAGAAAAAGGCAGCTCAAAAAGTTAGAGAGATATTGCTCTCAAAACAATAACAATTTCCTATTTTCCAAGCAGAATGCTAAACAGGGGTATCTCAAAAAAAAAGCTGTAAGGTAAATCAACACAATCATTAATAATTACGACATCAGTGCTGGAAGTTTTGTTCACATTAGGTATCTGAATTTCTTTTTTATTTTAATCTGGATTTAGCTGAATACTTAAACGACTTAATTATTAGAACAAGACACCCCATTGTACATTAGGGCTGTAACTATACTAAGTTCGCTGCAGCAAAGATAAAAAATAAAATAAAATCAAAACCTCTGCCATATTCTAAGATTTGAAACCCAGGGAGTTACTACCCCAGTGCAGCATACTAAGGAAGAACTCAAAAGCAGTTTTCCTACACAGAAAAGTAAATAGCTAGCCTCTACTTATTTTTTTCCTTGTTAAAACAGTCCATCGTAGTTTAGAACTGTTGCAGGGCAAACACACATGCACTGTGTTTTCTTTAATTTGGTGGGAGCAGAGTCCAGAAGAGTGCCTCTACTAGTTCCCACGAGCTCTCTCTACTTACTGCAGTGACCCCTGCTATGTAAACATCTAGCAGAAATCCAGTTTCCCCAAAGCCAACACGCACAACCAGGACAACACGCCGCCCGGAAAGAAAAGTATAATCTCAGAAATAGCCATTTCTGTAGTTAATTACTTATCTACATACAAGTACATCGAGGGCAACTTAGAGCTATATGACAGAGAGAAAAAACCTGAGCAATGACTCTGACCTGTGAAATTCTCATTTCTCCACATTGGCACCTAAAACTTTTTCAGGCAAATCTGAAAGTTTAGGTACTATTTTTTTTCTCTCCATTTTCTCTTGAGGGCATACTGAGAAGGGATTATCTTCTGTTTTCATCTTTACACACACAATAGTACAAGTGAGTCTTTGATATGTGGACTGCTGCTAGGAATACTGCTCTAAAAGTCTGACAAAAAGAAAAATCTCCACACCACTAAATTTGCCAGCTAATATACAAGAACAAAGCTTTGCCCTAAAGAAACAAATAGAACTTTTGCCGTTTGGAGAATTTCAGCATCCATCATACATAAAAAATATAAAGCAGAATATACCTTTAAAGGCTTCAGCCAAATCAATTCTCACACAACCACTTCTGCTCAAGCTTCAGGAAGGCAAGATTGAAAAATGAAACATAACCTTTCCTATTTATTTCATTATTTGGTTATACACTCAGGTGTTTTATCTGCCCACACCGGTGAAGAGCTCTTCACACAGATGAATAGGAGATGTTTTCATGTTAGTACTCATTTTTTTCCATTTTTGAACTAGCAATCCCACTCTACCTCCTGCAAATACAAGACTTAGATAGCTTCAAACAACATAAAATCTATAATCAAGCAAGTATTTCTAACCATAAACCCACTTGTTCATGCAAGTACCCCATAACATAAAAATTACTTTCCCCATTTTAATTCTGTACAAAAGGCATTCTCTCCAACATGAGGTATGAAGCAGATGAACCTGCTCACTGGGCATCAGTTCTGGATATGTACCATCATATACATTATACATATATATTTCACAATCGGAAAGATTGTCACAACACCACCACAGCAGTTAGCTGTTGTGAAACTTGCAGACTGAAAAACGCTAATGTAAGTCATTTAGCAGTATCTTGCCACACTACTTCAACATCATCTGAATGTTGTAATTCGTTCAGCAAACCGACTACGTGAATACTACATGGTAATATCATCATCTGCCAACACACAAGTCAGCCAAGTTCATGTAAGATGATATACAGCTTAGATGCTAAATACCACGTCAGACAGTGTGCCGAAGCACGTCTCAATAAGGGAATTTAAAACATTAATTCAACAAAACCAAAACCATATGCATACCATTCTAAACACAACATCCATCCACTAGCTTTGATTTTTAATTTGGAAGTGAAGTACACTTACAAATCTTAGGAAGATTTTGTAATTGGGGGGGGGGAGGAAATCAATACAAGCCTTTGCATTTTATTCCCAGAATAGTCACTAGGAATCTAACAGATCCCAAAAGCGATAAAAGGGAACTGACACTGTATTACGAGACATGTAGTTTAAAAGTAACATCTGAGAACAGCCTGTGCAGATCTCTGCTGTGGCAGGCAAGTTAGCAGCAGTCACTCACTGAAGAACGGACCAAATCTATCACCGAATTTAGGTTGGAAGGCATCTGGGAAGATCACCTGCACAAAACAGTTAATTAGAGCAGAGTGCTCAGGGCTATGGCCAGTCCAGCTTTAAGTATCTCCAAAGATGGAGATTTCACAACCATTCTAGGTCCTGTTCTGGTATTTAACCACCCTCACAATTGAGACATTTGTCCTAGTATCTAATCAAATTTTCCTGCATTTCAACTTGTGCCTGCTGCGTCCAGTCTTATCAAAACACACCTTTGAGCAGAGTCTGGCGTCATCTTCTCTGTATGCTCACATTTGATAGTTTTAGACAGCAACAAGATCTCAACTGGCTCATCTTAATACTGAACAGATCCCACTCTATCAGCCTCTTCTCATATGTCACGTTCTTCAACCCCTTCAGCATCTTGACAGCCCTCCACTGGACTCACTCCAGTATGTCAAGGTCCTTTTATCTATTGGGAAGCCTAAAACTAGGCACAGTACTCTAGATGTGGTCTCACCAGCATCCAAATGCAGAAGGACCACTTCCCTGGACCTATCTGCTACACTCTATGTTACTACCACCCAGGATGCTGTTGGTCTTTGCTGCAAGAAGGCACTGCGTACTTATGCTTGACTCACTACTCACCAGGACCCTTGGGTCCTTTTCTGCAAAGCTGCTCTATATCCAACCATCCCCCAGCCTATACTGGTGCACGAGGTTATTCCAGCATACACAGGAATTTGTAATTACCTTTGCTGAACTCCTTGAGGTTCCTGGCAGCTGACAGACTCCTCTGAACATCAGCCCTGGCCTCCAGTGTACTGGCTGCTCCTGCCACCTTACTACAGGCTGTGACCTGCTGTGTTTACACTCTGTCCCATCATCCAGATATTCAATAAGGACACTACATGGTATTGGACTTGGTATCAATACCTGATGGCTGGCAGCTAACTTTGTCCTGCTGATCACAATCCTTTCAGCCAATGGACCAATAAATTTTCCATCCATCTTACCAGCTACTTACCCAGTCTTTATCTAAATAGTTTGGATGTGCAGATACTACAGGAGACCATGTCAAAGATCTTGCTAAAGTCACAGCATACAACATCCACTCTCTCCTTGTCCACAAATCCAGTCATCATACAGGCAAGCAGTATAATTTTAAAACTATACAGGCTAGGGCAGTACATCCTCTAACCAACTCCACCCCTAAAACTGAGGGAATAATACAGCATAAGGGTATACACAGAACAACCACACCGACCCACAGTAAGGACTTCATTTAAATTAAAACTGCGATATACTCATGAACACATGGCTTCGAAAACTGAAACAGAGCAGAGAGGGACCATTTAAGATAAAATTTTCTTGTTAGGCTTGCTCCAAAATTTGAAAAAAAGTCTAAGTGATATACACTCTTAGTGTAGGCGGTAGTAAATCAGGAATTCCTGCACATCTGGCTTTTACAGCCCATCTCTTATTGAAGGAGGGTAAATGTGGCACAGAAGAGAAGAGGCCAAAGCCTGTGAGGAACAGATGCTTCTAGACTGCCCTGTGTGAAAATGAGAAACATCCCCTGAGACCATCACAGAACCCAGCCAGGCTGGGCTTACAGTTAGGTGAATGGCATATTAAGGAGTGATGATGAAACAGACATTTGAAAACAATTCCTATACCAAGTTGAGATCAGCACTCAATAGGTTTCTCAACAAGAAAAAAAGGCCTAGAGCTCCTATGCATATCCTTGTGCCTAGGCTCAGACTAGGTTAGGGCATACAGCAGGCTTTCCACCATGGCAGAGATGTACCTTGGACATAGCTGTGGTCCTCTACATGACTCGAGTGGAAGGGGAGCAGGCTTGGCTTTGCATTTCTCTCTGCCCTGTGCTGGGAAGCAAAGCTGTGCAAGGACACCTCCAGCCAGTCTGTCCTATTCTGCCACTCCTCAAAGGCACCTCCAACACAGCCTGCAACTCCTCCTTGAGCAGGCTCAGCTCTGCCCCAACAGTTAGTGATCTCCACAGTAAAATAACAGAAGACTGAAGGGTAAGTAACTAGAAGTTACAGAATGGGACCAAGACTGTCAGCAGACAGAAGAGCCCAAAAGACACTTCTTATGGTCACTCCATGAGAAATTGCGGAGTATCAGCCAGGTCAGAAAACCTAGTCTCAGTCCACTGCCAGGGTTAAGGATCCAGTTAGTGTATGACTTAACCAGATACTATGAATGACAGACTGACTTTAAATAGCTCACCAAAACTAAACACAGTCTTAAGGTTTCTGAAGTAGTAACTACGACTCAAGTTTGTCCTTGAGCATAGTCTCAAATCATCATTCAGGTTAAATTAGGATATATTAAATGGCATGCAATGCACTATGAGAAAGTCAAGAGGCAGGGAGAAGAAAGAAAAATATTAAAAAACCATATCAGACTCAGCCTAAGGTTTGAGTCAAGGAATGCCTTATGGTTTGGTAAAGGAGTTACTAAGCAACTTTTAAATTTGAAAGAGCTGTCAAAAATAAGTTCAGGACTTACTCATTCTTGTTCACTTTTTAGAGATAACAATACCATAAACTCCTAACTACAGTGAGAATTGAAGAGTTGACAAAATAACGAGTTAAAACAAAACTTAGAGGCACAGATGAAGGTTTGACGTCAACTCCTGAAACTGAGTCAATGAATTCATGTGTGATTTTTGTTTGTTTTTAGAAACTTGGGAATCTGTACTGATTTGAGATTAAAACAAAATAACCTCTCACAAATTCATTCAGAAAGATCTACTCACTCCTGCTGCAAACAGATACACGTTTCTCCACGCAGTAAGGCAAAACACTACAAAGCACACAGTCTCTACCTTATGCAATATTTTTTATTTGTAGTTTTAAACACTTCGTATAAACTTCATATAAAGTTTTCTTAGCATGTAAAGTGAAGTAAGAAAAAGGTTTGTTTTCAGATTGTGGTGTGAGATCGAAAGACAAATATTTCACGAAAGACGCATACTCACGCTGGTAGTTGCACATAAAGCAGGCCTGCGCTGCAATCATCCACTCGGCTCTAGTCTCACAAAAGATAGCAATGTTAGTCTTTGGTTGCTGACCCAATACTGCTAAGCCGTTTCCAAAATTAACAGCTTTAATGTATACATCTTCATATGAAAGCCAGGTGTACTTGCCAAGGATGACCTAATAAGAATAATAAATTCAATTTAGAAAATGAAAATCCTTAACACATGTCCTACTACATCTTCATCCACATGAAGAAACCACAGATGTTTGAAGTAAAAGTTGCTTAAATTCTAAAAGCAGTTTATTCAAGATAACAAATAACATTTTTGCCAAAAACTACAGGGACTGTGGAAGCTCCAAAACAAATACTGCAATATCTCCATGCATGTTATCACCTCAGTTTCTGTTTTTGTATTAGGAAGCACACAATTCCCACCGTATTTCATAGCTTCAGAAGACCTGAACTATATCTGACCCATAAGTCTTTAGATTTTTTACAAAGGTTTGGTTATCTTAAAAAAAAAAAAAAAAAAAAAAAAA